ACAAAAAAATAAATAAATAAATAAATAAATAAAAAAATAAATAAAAAAACTGACCATATTCGAAACATAGACATAAAACTAAAACAAACAAAATTTTAAAAAGAGAAGTCTGTACATATGAATATTGAGGTATATATATACATACTATATATACTATACATATAGTATAGTACATATTTTGTATTCAGTTATTTATATATTCACAATGTTAACTCAGATTCTCCAATGTTACCACTTGACTGTTTTTAATAACCTCAGTTTATTCTATTGTTATTCTGATTACAGTTCAGAGGCTAAGCTGTTAGCTAAAATCAGGAACCGGGTTCCAAAGCTTCTGTTACCTGAGCTATTCTCGTTGGCAAAAGAGATAACTTGTCTATAGGAGGAATGGAATCCATGAACGATATAATTGATTCGCAAGCGTTCAGTCACCAGCAATTGGTAGTGGAAACAACTGAGTTCATAGAACATGTCGGACAGGTGGGAGCACAAAAACTGAATCCCACGCCAACTGGTGAGTCAGATGCGTTGAACGGAATGATGACGGACAGTGTTGGCCGGATACATGACGGTGATGAGGACGATGCAGATGAACTGGACGACGGCGAGGAGGGGGCGGAGCCCAGTTCAGCTGTGGTTATGGTTATCGACGAACTGGGCAGCGGCAGCACTTTGCAGACGACGTATCAATTAGTGCCTGAGCAACTTCAACTACAGGATGGGGCCAGGACTCTATCCTTACTGCCCATGCACCATGCAGATGAGCGACCTGTTAGTCCAGTTGAGTTCGATGGCTCTGATGATATAAGCCTGGATGGCTTATCAACGCAAATTATAGCCGTTAAGCAGGAGCACAAGCTGGTCATAGTGCAACGGGATCCGGATGCCAATGGGATCATTAATCGACGCACCAGTCCACATCTTGGTCTTAATATATCGCATGTTAATGTTATTGATGAATTGTCCTCAGATGGCGGCATCGAGGAGGTTACTTTAAATCAGCACCATCAACAGCTCCTCGATGAACAGCAGCAGCAGCATCATCATCAGCATCAGCACAATCACCAGCACAACCTCCAGCAGCAGCAGCATCACCAGCATCACCAACATCATCACCCACAATACGGACAGCGTCTGGTYACTACATCGGAAATAATTCATCATCATCATCAACAGCAGCAGCAGCATCAACAGCAGCGTCAGTTAGCATCGGGTCAAGGACATCATAGAGAATCGCTTTCAGTAATTGTTCAGGCTCATGATGACGATGATGATGACATTGATGACGATGATGAGGAGGTTGATGAACACGTTTCAGCCAGTCAATCGCTTAGTCCGCCACTAAGCGTCGAACATAGCACCTACCAAACATTGACGTCAGTCAACAACCAACGCATATCAGAGCCGAGTTTCAGTCCGACATCATATGCTACGCTAACACCAATTCAGCCGCTGCCCCCAATTTCGACAATGTCCGATAAATTCGCCTATGCAGGTGGACATATTAACTCAGGCAACGGGAGTAGCAGCAACAACAATGCAACAATTCGATCTAATAATAATAATAGCAGCAATAGCAATTCAGATCGAACGTTTGCCAACAGCCTGCCTTTGCCCATTGAGGCGACACATCAGGGCTCGTTGTCGAATTTGAACCTAAGTGGGTTGGTCTCGGACGTGCAGTCTCCATATTCAAGCTCGTACGATAAATTGCCTTCACTTATATCACCTACGCCTCACGCCTACGCTAGTTCGCCATCACAAGGACTCTCTGGCTTGGTTAATACATGCGATCTGCATAGTCACAGCTCGACGGTGTCCTCTCCAGTGAATGGCTCTCCTGCTGGTGGTCATCTGCAGTTGCATAAGGCATCCACGGCATCCGGAGGAGGGCAACCACATCTTCATAATCAACAAGTGACTGTACAGAAGCAGGTCATTTGCCTCTCGCCAACAACAGCCACTGGCATTTCTGATTATGACGTATCGTATCGTCCTAGCCAGCAGCCTGACCCAGACCTACTCATGTCTAGAGCTGATACGACAGATCGTAACGCTCAGCTAAGGCTCCAGCATAGTCCAACACTCAGTTCCCATTCGGTTTCAGCAGGCTCCGTTGTCTCCATGTCATTGCACTCGCCGGCCTCTGCAGTAACGCTGCCCCACATTAATGGATCGGTCAACAACCTAACTGCCGACTTGCCAGTCGTTAACATGTCACCAACGCCGACCACAGTGGGTGGCAATGATAGCTCGATCGACGAGCTGGTCCAGCAACAGCTTAAGAGTCAGCACAACAGCAGCAACGCGGATTGCCATGTAGAGAATAATGTTGTCAACAGTCTCGATGTCTGCAACCTAAATCAACAGCAACATCAGCCGAATGGCTTCAATTCAGATCAAGCGCATTCGCAACAACAGCAGCAGCAACCGAAGTTGTCTCCGAAGTTAAGTGGAGTTGCCGCTAATCCATTATCACGCTCGACAGCTGCTGCTCCGAGTGACATGGAAGAGATAAATACCAAAGAGTTGGCCCAGCGCATTTCTGCAGAGCTCAAGCGGTATAGCATACCCCAGGCGATATTTGCCCAACGGGTGCTATGTCGTTCACAGGGCACTCTGTCCGACCTATTGCGCAATCCAAAACCCTGGTCGAAGCTGAAATCGGGTCGGGAGACTTTTCGACGCATGTTCAAATGGCTGCAAGAACCAGAATTTCAACGTATGTCTGCTCTACGAATGGCTGCTGCTCAAATACCCCAGAGACCATCAGCAGGAGCTGGAACTGGATCCGGCAACGGCAACATCATATTCACAACAACAACGCCGCCTGGTTCGGGCTCGGGCTCGACAAACTTATCAGGAACGAGCTCAGTTGCAGTAACGCCATCGGCCACTGTGCATACCAACGAAAGTTCAGGGGCGACGCATGGATCAAGCATTGCAACAAATGGTATGTAAGGCCAAAAATAACTCACGCCTGGTAAATAGAGCTTATGTCTCTCGATTTTCTCGATAAATCGATCAATCATCTTTTAAAACATCGATCGGTGATTCCCCCAAGTTAGATTGATATCCATTTCTTATACCCTGAACCCATTGAAAATGGTATATCAGGGTATAAGGTTTTGTGTAAAGTATGTAATAGGCAGAAGGAAGCAAACCCTAGCATATATATTCTTGATCAGGGCGATTAGCTGAGTCGATATAGCACTGTCCGTCCGTCTGTCTGTCCGTATGCTTGAACGCGTCGATGTCAGAAGATAGAGGAGTTAGAGACTTGAAACTTTTTTAAAATGTCCGTATATATAACACGGATATCGAGTTTATCTAAAAAAAAATCGATAACTCATTCCATTATTTTTATCGATAAAAACCTTATAGAAAATCAATTATAAAATCTCCATCTTTAAAGCTAGAGTCGCTAAATTTTTAATGTTAATTCCCATGGTTTATATAATAGTTCGATTTTGATTATATTTCCTATATCCATCCCACCACCCCTAAATTTGTAAAAGGTATTTCAAATACTAGAGATTTTGCTTTTCCAAATGCAGTCCGAGCAGTCTCATCTAGAGCTTTCTTACTTGTTTAGATTGAATGCAATAATAATCGAAACTCGATCTACATTGAGCTACCACTTTATACAAAACTAATAAATAATAATTTTAGGCGTTATTGGGAAAAATTGGATCTAATGTGGACTTTGTAAAGATTCAGATCATTCGGCTTTATGTGTATCTGGTGCTTATCTGTCAATTTTGCAACTATCTTTCAGCAATGCTAAGCAGTTCGGGCCTTGCCTCCAGCTGTCGTCGCAAAGAGGAACCGCATATAGAGCAAATGCCGCAACCGAAAAAGCCCCGTTTAGTTTTTACAGATCTGCAGCGACGGACACTACAAGCAATTTTTAAGGTAAGTGGGCTCTTTATTGAGCGGTGGCACGAAGCGTATCATGAACTGATGTGACATTTATGGGGCCTATTCAGGAAACAAAGAGGCCTTCAAAGGAGATGCAAGTGACGATTGCACGCCAGCTTGGATTGGAGCCAACGACAGTGGGCAACTTTTTTATGAATGCGCGAAGACGCTCAATGGACAAATGGCGCGACGACGATAATAAGAATTTACAGCACTCGCATAGTAGACAGCACCAGCACCAGCACCAGCAGCAACACCAGCACCAACAGCAGCAGCAGCAGCAGCAAGAGCAACAGCTTCAGCACCAGCAGCAGAATCAGCAGCATGAAGAGGAGGAAGATGAGCGAAGCAGCGGACACTATAGCAACCTGCACACGACAGCGATGTCGCCGTTGGGTAATTTCGATGAAGATGGCGAAATGGACTTGGAGCTAGAACACCATGACTTCTTAGTAGCTGATCATGATGATGATGAACACGAGGAGCACGATGACATGTTGTGACATAACAGAGAATGTCTAGACGAACAGCTAACACAAAATTCCTATAAGCTTCATGCCGATGTCGATTCAAATGACCGTTTCAAATTCAGCAAGAAGAAGAATAGACAGCAGCAGAAAAATAAGAAGAAAAGCAACGTTGTTAATGCGAAATGCGATCAAGATACCGGCTTGAATCAACGTTCGAACACATTAGCAGATGAGTGGTCAATCGACAGTTTAGGTGTTATCGATTGCGTTGAGTATTTTAATAGGCCGATAGACGTGGATGACAATTTGCTAGCCAGCATCAGCTCAGTCAAACGCTTGTCAGTTCGTTTGGGTACGAAATGTTATAAAGATCCGGGCTTACAGTTTAATAAATTCTTAGTTCACTAAGCAAACAGAGAGAGGGAGAGAGAAATAGCCGGAACTCTTCCACATGCAATGGAATTTTTTTTTTTTTTTTTGGTAATCATTTTGTTAAAGCTTGTTTACATACATATGTATTTTTTCGGTGTCCCAAAACTTACCCCAGAATCACCAATTGAATCTGGCGTAAGCTAAATGCTACAAAGATTCTTCGATCATCCTGTTGGGAAATTAAATGTCACTTCAGTTGGTTTATGTTCCGGCTCCCCTTAAAAATTAAACCTTTATTTATCATCTTGATCAGAACCCGAGTCGATCAAGCAATGTTCGTCCTTCCAAATCCAAACACAAATCGATTGTGCCACTCGCTCAATTTTGATACTCTCAGTTTATTATATTGCGGTCTGTATAGAAATCGGGTCCGACAGATATATACATACGTTTTCTAGTCTTTGGGTCTTGAATAATGGCAAAAATCAAACCGACTGCCGACTAGAGCTGACTTAATTAATGTATTATGTTTTTATATTTCTAATTGTGTATAGATACATATATATACAATAAAATCCGCTTATAACGACACGCACGGCACCGTCGTTATACCCGGAAGGCGCTATATCCGTATAAGCTTGCTAATAAAAGTTTGTCTGGGGAGCAGAATTTTCGTCGCTCTAACCGTACAGACGATATAAGCAGAGTCGTTATAACGGGATTCTACTGTATATATTGTGAAATCCAGTTATCGCGACGAAAATTCGATGTTGGTCCCCATACAAACTTATATAAAAGAGCATCCGCATAGTACGTTTCCGCTATTAACGGCAACCCGCTTATACTGACAATATTTTTCACATTATTCAGGCAAAGTGCAATCAATGCCGACGTCATTTGTTCTTTGAGCGTCGTTATAACCGGATTCCACTGTATATATATATATAGGTATATATTTTTAATTTGTCACGCCCCCACAATGCAGAAATGTCTAATGACGAATGTCAACGGTAACTTAGCAA